AGCCATGCTTCGGCACGAGAGGGCTGGCTTGACCGGAGTGATACCACGGCCTCACAGAAAACTGACGTGAAACAACACTGGCGTTTTATTTCGCCGTGTGAGTCAGGTTATCGGAGGCCCGATCCTTCTCTCCCCATCCTTAATCCTCAAACCAGCTATCCTAGAATCCCTAATAACCTACAAGAAGCCGGCAACGTAGCTCCTTTTTCCAGTAACTCCTTTGCCGTCGAGTGTCCATGGGCGGCGTTGACTGCTTACCATCAGATTATCCGTCGGCTCGTTTGCCAACCTATGATATAAAAAAAGAGAAAAAGATTATAACTATCACAATACTTAATCTAATCATAGAACGTCCGATAAAGGCTGAAGATTGGGAGTTTATAGAAATTATATTGTATTGTGAGCTATCTCGAACAGCGAAATAATAGGGGACCATTGTTCTCTTAAAAAAGAAAAGATATTTTTGTCATTGAACCCCGATATATTTTAACATTCGAAGGAGTATAAAAAGAAATTGAAATAAAGATTTTTTGCATGGAGTACTTTGTAATATTAAGTCAATGTAATCCTATTGAAAATATTTTTATCCAGACTTATTTTAGTAAACTATTTTTATCAGAATGTTTCCATGATGTTGTTATTCGAAATGTGAGTTTTGAAAATGGAGTGTTGTATTTCCTTGCCGAATAAAATACTATTTTACTTTTTCAAATTTATTTAATGTAAAACTGTAGTGCAGTATTTGGCAAATCCGTATTTATTTTTCGAATGAGACTTTAAAGAATATTTTTTTAAACATTACTCTATACAAGTATTTTGACATGTGAGTCCGGTGCAATCATAAATACATAAATTTACAACATCAAATTTTTCAAAATCACTTAGGATACGTTACGGCTGCTGAGTCGGTTGCTTAGCCACTGCGCCAACCATGCAGTTATGAGTGCAGGCGCCGTAATGTACCGACCACCCAGCGCTTAGCAGGAGAAGGAACGGATACATATTAGTCAGTAAAAGTCTGACACTCACTCTCTCCCTACACAGCCGCTGAAATCATATGATGATTCCTTACCCCTTTCTAAAAAGCGAGTGCTGTCAGAAGGCATATTATTATATGATTGGTTTATAAGTGTCCACTGTTGAGGAAAGGCCTCTTCTGACACGGATAAGGTTTGAGCATTAATCAATCACGCTTGTTCAAAGCGGATCAAACTAATAAATTTTAAGTTCAGGTTTCCTCACGATATTTCCCTTCACCGTGTCATTGGTTTCTACTATCAGGTATAATTTGGAAAAAGTCACATAAGAACTTGTCAGGTTTCGAACCCTCATACATGAGAAGTCTTAACCTTTGAGCTATCATGACGTCAGATTTGACATATCTTTATGTCTAACTTTTTCTAACCAAGTTTTATGATTAGATTTGTTTAAATCTTAGTAAAAGAAAGTAACATTTATTCATGAAATATCTACACAGGTATCTAAATATATTCGTTTTCTTTAACACATACGAAAAGAGATTCAAAGCTGACACCAACTTCGTTATAACTTTTTCATATTTATGTAAATACAGAAAAAAGGATGAAATGGGATATCGTAATATTTTTGTTTTTGAATTAGACTAGTTGATACCTGCAGATTTGATTCGGAAAATTAAATTGTTGGCTAAAATGACACCCTTGCCTATTTTTCCAAAGAGTTTAGATAGGTAATATCATAGGAAACCTGTTTAGAATTAGATATACAATAGATTTTTTTTATTTCGATCCAAATATACTAAACAATACATATGTTATCACTACATAGTACACTAAGTCGTTGTAAAACTACGCAACTGTGTGTGCTCAAGATGGATTGGCGATTTCAAAGTAATCATTAAACCGTATAAGTACAGATTTATTCACGATGTTTTCCTTCACCGTGTGTCATTGGTGTCTAAATAATTATAGAAAGTATAATATATATTTTGTCAGTATATATAATATATTATGTAGGTATAAATATAATTCGAGGGGTGTATAGAGACAGAAGAGGAGTGGATGGATACTAGAAAAATTCTCCAACATCTATTCACCCCTCAAATTACTTTGTATTATATTTATATACAAATACGTATATGGTGCACTCAATATTGACTTGCAACAGTTCAAACATGTGCACCACTCTCAAGGGATTAAATTGAATTGATTTTAAACCTACATAACATACCTAACATAGGCTTTTATTTTCAAATGTAGAACTATGCTTAGAAATGGATGGGCAGGCTCAACCGGGGTGATATCATGGCCACATAGTATACCAGCGTAAAATGTTTCGCGGTCTGAGTGACCCAATCCTTTCCATAACCGCCTAATACCCACTCTCTAATACTCAAATCGTTAAAAAAATACAAAGGGTGGCACTTGAACTTCTTTGATGTTACGAGTGACAATGGGCATTGCTATCATATATAAGCTGGATATATGCTTTAGTAATAGTTTTTAGATGAAGGTCAGTAAGGTAACCTGAGGCATAATGCACAGCGAGGACACCACAAGAGACACCGTAGGGATATTTTAAGGTCGACGCTATACCTTCAGGGCTCCAGAAGAGGAATATAAGAGGGACTCGGATCCCTTGACCTTCTCTGCGAAAAGCTAAAATTATAGACGAGTTGCCAATATTAAGTTCATTGCCCTTTTAGTAATACAGCTTATAATTTGATCGATCATATATTTTTAGACAAGTTTGGGAAAAAAGTAATAATATGAACTGTTCTAATTTTGTTGTTATAGCCAACGACCTTTGAATGATTATTTCCAAGAATATTGACGTCAACATACTTAGTGAACGTTCAATTGATTGAGAGTTGAACACAAGTTTTCTTGAGAAGGTTAAATTATTTCGTAGTATCGAAGAAGCAGGGTTGGTTTTATTCAGCAAGAGTTATTCATTCTTTCTCGCTCCGCCCAGGGTGGAAGATCATATGATGATTTTTTCCCCATCAAAGAAAGTCTATATTCTCAGACATTAATGAATTCATGTTATAATATTATGTATCAATCTGTTGCTTTCTTAAGGATAATATTAAAAATATGTTACCTATATTCAAATTGCGTCAGTGTTTCCATAGTACCTTCTATTCGTACTACGAGTTAAGGAACCAAAGCATTTTATAAATTGCAAAAGCGATAGAAATCTTTAACCAAGGGGGTTAAAGATTTCTATCGCTTTCAACACATACGTTCTCAACCGTATATGAGTTACCACATTAGCAAAAATGATCATAAAACAAAAGGAAGTAAAAAACAACAATAAATAGTAGATATACAAACATCCCACGTCCTATTTATTCCGTTTTAAGTCCTATTATCCTCGAGGGGTACATTTTGAGCCAGAAAACAATGAATTGTGTAATTTTATTTGCAATTTTTCATTTGACATTCTAACAATTACCGCTGTGGTAGAATATAGGGTGTCGCTGAATTCGTGAGTAATATTTTTTTACAATATTTTATTTATAATTTTTAGCAGCGTTCAATGCTGATACTAAACTTTTTCTACTATTTAATGGATGTTAATTTACATAAAATTATTCCATTTCAATTAGTCTATCTTTAAAACACCCGCATCAAAATGGGTTGTGTTGTTTTAAAGATTTAAGCATACATAGTGATATACGTGGAAAGCGACTTTGTTTGGTACTATGAAATTATAGATCGGCAAAGAAATAAACCTCATGGTAATAGTATTATAGTATATCAAGCAATATCAAGGAGTTAAAAGTTCGTTGTTGACTTCTTGGTTGATATAGAGCTCATTAAGGTTACTGAAAGGAAAACTCATCTTGCCAGAACACCGAAAAAACTCGCATCGTGATAATTTAATTATGTGCAAAGTACACAATGCGTCTTATGACACCGAAGTGCCATTGATGATACGGGAGACCAATACATCTTTTATCATTATTTAGTTCAACGATATTTTTAACTTGATTAATACCATAATTTACTATTTGGAGAAGATCTATGAACTCATTCAGCAATAGAAGCAATGATAATATTTGCGATGATTCTTAATTTATATTATCATCAGGTTCAAATTCAATCACACCCTGTACAAGTGTGTAGAGATAAAAAATGGACATAAAGGGTCCCTGTATTGTTCCCTTTATGCGTGATGAAGTCCAAAATGGCTGTATTTTGATACGTTTAAAAAAATCCCATTAAAGTTCAATAGGTTGGTTGGCCATAAATTTTTGTTTATTAACCATTTTACTAGTGGTTGAATGAAAATGAAAAGTTTTACGACTTATTTTCAAGTGATTTAGGTTCATTGTGGCTCGTCTAGGATTAAGGTTCAATGACCTCTTTGTTTTCTTCATTAGTTTTTCATCGAACAAAATATGGATTATGATTTATTTAGGCTTGTTATTTTATTACCCGCACAAAGAGGTTATAACTGATTTTTCCTTTGTTTCGTGTAGTTTTTCCTAGAACGAGGAAGTGTGTTTCAATTTTGCGTTGCTCTAAAACTTAGACTATCAACAACATTCACGATTTTGGAAAAATCGGTTGTGCTATTAACATTTCATCGTGATCTTCATTGTGATTCATTTTTTTTGGAAATGACTGTAAGTATATGTGCATATATTGGGTATGTATGTGGGCGTTATAACAAAATTATTATTGTGAAAGTCGGTTTTTATAAATGTACTTTTCAAGTTTTATTGCTTACACAATGTTCAACAAAATTGTACACAATAGATATAGTTTGTCTGTTGGATCAAAATTATTATTCTTTACTTATTATGAACTAAATTTGTTGTACACATAATAATATGTGCGCCTTTGCATACCCCCTACGGAATTAAAAGATGCGATGATAAGGTACTTCAAATAATTAGTACGTAGATCTCGCACGTGAAGCCATCACAATCTACCCAGGTCTTGTAACAGATAATCAACCTTACCTCATTACAATTAAGTTTACAATTCATCTGACTCTTTCTTTTGTTTCAGGTTTCGAAGATACGCATGTGATGATATTCATTGGTTTCGCATTTCTAATGACATTCCTAAAGAAATACTGCTACAGTGCTCTCGGATATAACTGGTTTTTGGCGGCATTGGTTATACAATGGGCTCTGCTCTGCCAGTCCTTCTTCCACATGAAGAATAATACGATCCAAATCACGAAGAAAAGTTTATTAGGTAAGTTTTCTATAAGAAATTAATGTTTAATATAATTAAGGAATTATGTGGGAAACATTAATTAGGTATAAACATCAAATACAATATTTTGGCATTGAAAACGAAAAAAATCGTCACAATTATTTTTACACATTACATTCAATAGCCTGTAGCTAATTCAGTACTGGTCAAAGTAGATTGCTATAAACAAATAGAATGCCTTACTTCTAAACAACGAATCATGTGATATTTTTTTTAATTCATTTAACTTTTTTGCATCAAAATTAGGCATTCTTGTTAACGAACCTTTATGTAGAGGCAATGCAGGTAAAACATAGACAGTAGAATAAAACAGAAGCAAACGTATAATCAAACGTTGGATAAAAAAGTATATAATTAAAACAAAATAAAATAAATATCAGCATAATACTCAAACATATATGCTGAGTAGTGAGAGATCTTTTGATATCTCTTATTAAGTAGTGTGAATCAAAGATTTTTTTGCAAATTACTCCAAGGATTTGACGTTTCATTTAGTTCCTGAAGTTTCTCCTTAAAAAAAAACAATAACAATATAACAGTGTCCAACAATAACGTTGGACCTGTCTCCAATTTTAATAAAGGCAAAATTTAAATGCCCAATTTCCTCTTTATTTCATTTCACAAAAGAAAAGCTTTTAAAGCATCGCCGAATGTTTTGATATTGTTTTAAATTCAATTACAATTTTGTATACAACCGAATTGTCTTTTAGCTACCGAGATTGAATTAGAGGCTGTTGATTTTCAGTTTCTTGACCTCTAGATTTTTACGAATTAATTAGGACTGGGTAAGATTACAATAGAGCATAGTGTTTCTTACTAAATAGGATGACATTTTTAAAACATTATGTTGTTAGTTGCAATAATGATCCAAACAAATCGATTTACAACGCTGCTGTACAACGTGTCGCTGGTTCGATTCCCGCACGGAACAATACGTGGTGTGATCCACAAATTGTTGCTTCTGAAATGCACTTACGATACAGGAGAAAAGGCTAATGTTGGAAAACGTTTCATTACAAAAAAAAATCTATTGTGGAATCATATTCTTGAACTATATTTCGTTTGTTCTGTGTCCCATCTCATAGACACCTCCGAAAGGTGTTATCGTTAAACTGTAAAGATATTACCAACGTTTTAATTTTTTTTATTTCATTAGTTCCATACGTGACGACATCTTTGCAATCTTATTTTTTCTCGAAAGTTCAATAACTCTGTGTCTATTTACGTAACATCTTTTTAATTAATTCACAGAGGCTGACATTATGTCCGCGACTGTCCTCATCACGTTCGGAGCTTTACTGGGACTTGCAAGCGGAACTCAGCTATTGTTCCTAGCCATCATTGAAACAGCAGTAGGCTGCATAAATTTGTACCTAATAGAGAGTGTTTATAAGGTTGGTATTGCTTTGCATACTTGCTGTAGTAGTTGGAAAAGGACTTAGTTATTTTTTTAAGTATTCTTGAACCTATTTTACGACGTCTTAGGGTTGTAATTCAAATGTAGATTCGAATTTGATTACTTCTTTTCTTGGATTTAGTGGTGTTTTTTATTGAATGCCTTTGTTGCCGACATACCTAACGTGACATTAGATTCGCTATAACACCATACTTAGGGCTTGTTTCACAATATATGTGAATAGCCAATATTTTTTATTAGCGTAATATTTTTTATAAATAAAACGTTATGATATTCTATAAATAAAAGGAATTTAGAATCTGTACTGGTTCTTGAAATTATTTTTATATTAGATAGTCCATTTATTGAGAAAGACTATAAATAAAACATGTTGCTATAATCAAAAGAAGCCAAAGCAAGCAACGGGTAGAGTGGCTGGTGTAGCATAATATTACAAATTATGGGCGTTAGTCTTATTTATTTTGAAGGCCATGCTTGTTTACTAACTCGTGTGTGACATATTAGAGATACACTAATTGTTTGTGAAATCGTTTCTAATAAACATGTGACCGAAGATAATAATTCCGACAGTCTAAAAGAACTTATCTTAGAATAGGGCTAATATGATAAAAATAAAATAAAAATTGTCAATTTTATGATTCAAAAATATTGTTCAAAAATGTACACCTATTTTTTTTCTTTTTATTTATAAATAAATCGATTTAATCTTTTATATTTTATTAAACACGATTTTTTTCGTTTTATTGATAAATAAAAGAGAAATATCGTGTTTAGGACAACCAGTCCTTACTTGATCATGACGGTACTAGAAATTTAAAGTCTATGTATAGTCAAAAATAATGTTATTCTGAAAGAAAAGTAAATGTCTGAATGAGTTCTAAGATAACTTCGTTAGTTTGTTCGCATATGTTACTTCTTCTTTTTCATCTAATCCCTGCCAGCCACCCTACGGATATTATCAGTCTACCTAGCCTAGACGTGATCTCCACTCTGGAACACGTCTACCACAACAGTCATAGGTTCTTCATCAAATGTGACATGTCTACTGCTACTTCAGTTTGCTAATCCTTTAGGCTATGTCGAGAACTTTAAATTCTTTTCTTAAATTCAGACACAATTTATACCAAACAGAATCCCTGCATAAGAAACTAATACTAAAGTATGTTGCAATTGTGACTAAAATCGTTTAACAAGGTACATTTAATTTTCAGGCATCAGATATAGGCGGTTCTATAGCTATTCACACGTATGGTGCGTACTTCGGGTTGGGTGTGAGCACTGCATTTAGGTTAAGGAAGCCCACTGGACCGGAGGCGGCCGGTACTGAGCGCCTCGATGGGCCCACCTATATCTCCGATATTACTGCTATGATTGGTATGTTAATTTGTATCTGCTGTAATTGAAGTACAAGTAATAATATAATTTTTATTTTTTCTTTACGTAAATCATCAAAGTCTTCATTACTCCGCTGGATAGCGTTGATATCATGCACTGTCGCGTAAGTGCGTTACTCATGTTTTATCCTAGTAGGTATGTTCAGTTGACATTTTGAATAGTACGATGTTTTTAAGTTAGAGAAAATATTATAAAAGCCTCATGCGACACCTACTCTTAAGAACGGAATAAAAGAAATCCATCCAAAAGATCCATAAAAATGCTTCATAATTCAACCCAAGTTTCTAAACTGCCATAAATGCAGTTCGCAGTTCAGCTTAGGTAGAAACTGTCTTTTAATATTATTGAAAATGTTCTCCCCTCCGTTCGCTCCACTATCCGATGCTGTGACGGAATGACCTAGATACTTCTAGATTGTTCCCGACGTTTACGCTTCATCAGTACTCCTCTGTTTATGCACAGTTTTGTTGTTTTGCTTGGCTAGGTACCTACAAAAATATTAATTATTGAACTTTCAATTACTGCCGAGTACATTTTTACTAGACGTATTATTTGAAAGTAAAACCTCTTTGCTGTACTAAAGTCAAAGTTAAAGCATTTCAACTGTTTAAACTATAAAACTGAAAATAGAATAGACTGTCAGTGAAATTAGATAGTATCTATAGGGGATAAGTTAAAGTTAAATAAAGTTCCTTACCCAGCCTTGTCTGTTATTGGACAAGGCTGGGTAAGGAACTTTATTTAACTAATGTAATGTGAATCTGTATGTGAAACTGATTGAAAAAAAAAAATAGAAGAAATTATGGAGTGTCTTGCTCGTTCATCTCCTTCAAAATCTTCATTTTGGAACGAGCAAATAGCTTCACTAAGAGGACTGGATAATAGACTGACACTTTTATCTTAAGCTTGTTTTACGTTCAAAAGTACATGTAAGGGTCTAATTGAAATAAATGATTTTGACTTTTGTTCAGTCAAAACTTAACTTCAATCCTTCACCTTTGAAGGCTAAAGATATTCAAACCATAAATGTTAATGACTAATGAATTTCTGTATACGGTGCCTGTATACATATGATTATCTACATATAGTTATATTTTTTTCAGGTTCAATATTCCTATGGATCTACTGGCCATCTTTCAACTCGGGTTTGGCCCACTCAGACGCAGAGGGACAGCGGGCAATTATTAACACCTATCTGTCTTTAGCTGCTGCTACGGTAAGGTTTTAAGGCTACACGATACTTTTAATCAAGGTTACTTGTCAAGCAAAGTAAAGAATCATAACCCCTTTGTGCTTTGCCGTAGTCGGGTAAAAACTGGGTATTCCTATTTCAAAATTTTAAAATAAATTTTTTATTTATTTACAATATACAAGCTAGCTCGTCTAGTTTCAAGCCATATTAGGGCTCATATTCATGAACAATACGCATAATGTGGCACACGATGCAGCATATTTCGCTCAGCCAACCCTTAATTATAGTTAAATACCTTTGTTTTCTTATAAAACTTTTTGGTACAATTTTTTTTTGTGTTAGGTTGTGATATATTTTGTATTTTTAGTTTAGCAAGAAACCATCCATATTTACTTGTCTATCGTCAGGTCACAACGTTCGTACTATCTGCAATGGTGAGTCACAAACCTGGCAAACTGGATATGGTGCACATTCAGAACTCCACCCTTGCTGGTGGTGTAGGAGTGGGAGCTGTTGCCAACATGTTCATTGGACCTGGAGTAGCTATCGCCATTGGCATTGGTGCTGGTTTCCTCAGCGTGTTTGGATACAGATATGTGACGGTAAGTGAGCTTTTTTGTTTAATATTTTACTTCGGCTTCCTCTTGCGGCTTCTCATGCATGGTATAAAAACAGCTTATGTGCTAATCCAGGGTATCACCTATTAATACCAAAAATCGGTCCAGCCGTTTTTGAGTGAAAGTATGACAAATATACATTCTCACAAACTTCTTCATGTATATAACATGAGCAGGATATGGAACTTCTGAAAAATCTGCTGTTCTCTTCTTTATTCTGCAACACATTGGTGACAACTTCATTGAAATCTGTGCAGAAGTTTTTTTGCGAATGTATCTATAACAGAATAAATACCTCAAACTAAAAAAAACTTTTGGTGTTGTGGCACATTGGTTCATCTTCTTCGTTTGATAATTTGCCACCAAGTTATCCGTCAGCTCGGTCAGTTAGCGTACCTATTCCATCAAGAAATCATCGTGGCATTTTACGAGAACCTTCTTTTTTAACTAGTTTTGATTCCATAAGGATTTGCCGATTGTGACTTGTGTCTTGCAATAAGGTTATGTCAGCAAAAGAAACTGGCATAAAAACAGTTCAAAGAAATGCCATAATCCCCTAAAACAAGTTATCTAGCGTAAATCTGGTAATTTGCCGAATAAACCTACGTTTCTATGAGACTAAGTCCGTAACATAGATATAGAATCATAGATTTGCAATGGATTCAATAGATATAATAAAAAAAAACCGTAAAAGAAAAAAAAACTGACAATAGTGAAACGTGTTTGAAAATGATACAATATTTTAAAATTCCTGCCTGAAATGGTTTTTGTGACAAGATAGAAAAAATCAGAAAATCCGGCCATGACTGCCATACTAGTCTTGAAGTTTATTGTTTTAATTACTTTTGAACACGTCCATAGAAACATAGTTTTAACGATAAATGAAAATATTATTTTTCACTGGCCGCCTTTCACTCCAAACGCGTAATAAAATATATGAAGCGGCCTTTTTGAAATTATCAATTTCTTTAATTCGCTGTATTGATGGCGGTCAGAAGAGTGATTGAATCTCCGGTAACCTCACTTGCACGGCGAAACACAGCGGTGGTGCCGCTTTGGAGGTGTGAAGCTTTGTTTTAAGCTGGCTTTCTGTCAGGACGTAGGGCCAGCAAATTTTAGCCGAAGCCTGTAGCCGAAGCGTTAAGTGTGGGAGAGCCATTCCTACTTGAAGTAAAATTGACAGCTTGGTTGAAGCTGTAGCTGGGTAACCGACTGCTGTGCAACGTGTCACGGATTTTATTTCGCTCTCTCTTTGTAAAATTGTTGTTTCGGGTCTGGGTGTGATGTGTAACATTTGTGATGTTGTATGTTTGTAAACGCGCCAACAGCACAGAAAAACTACCCAATGTGGGGAAATGTGTTATAATAAATGGTAAAATATTTAAGTTAAACCTGATCACACACCCTGCCACATCATTGACACATCTATTTTTAATACATCCTGAGTTAGGGCTACGAAAGAACAAAGTTTGACTATCTAGAGACGAAATTATAGAGAAGTTTTGTGAAAATGTCCAAGTGTTAGAGCAGATAATATTTTTGTAACAAACTTCTATAAAATCTGAAGGCCCCAGGAGACGACCGATATCTATGGACAGTAACTATTTAAAGTATTTGCAAAGTTCTGAACAATTGAATTATTTATTTATCGATTTTCCTGTGTCTCGAGTTTTGGAATTCTACCTTTTGTATATATATCCTGTAAGTGTCTACCGGTATAGGTTAATTGGTAAACGGTGTAAATACTAATCTACTCACTATCGAGGTGATTACACAATACGGCAGTTTTTAACTAGTCAAATTCAACAACGATACTTTTCTATGAATTTACTTGTATGAAATCGTTTAAATATTTTTACGTCAAATATAATAGTTATTTTATTTCTGAAAAAAGATAGAAAATATCTAAAATTTGCTAAACATATCAGCAAAGTAATGAATGATGTTTTAGTTTGACTGCGTGGTTGGCGCGGTCTGGGCAACTGGATGTCGCGCAGCGTATTTTTGCGCAGGGTTTGAGTATCGCATGGAACAGCTATTTGTTCCGTGTCTGGGTGACTTGTGTATGTTTGTATCAGCACCCACGATACAGGAAAAAATCTTAGTTTTTCTTTTTTAAGAGAAAAAAAATACGAAATATTTTGATAATTTATTTTACTGTACTGAAAAGTCAAACAAAGTATTCGTTCATGCGTGGATCGTGCAATAATATTAGCGTGCCTTGAAACTGATCGATTTCCTTGTCGAACAGTTATGTGAAAGTCGTTCAAAATAATTATCAATTTAATGAGTTAGAGTAAAAAAAAATAGGAGCAGTCCCTTAGCAATAAGGAATACGACACGAGGAGGAAAATTATTATGTATTTATAATTTCATAATATTTTGCACGCTTAAAAACAAACATTAATTTAAGACCTTTTGCCCTTAAAGTTTTTTATGTTTTTTTTTTTTTGAAAATCGAAACACGTGTTTTATTTTATTCTTCTTTTTATATTAAAAAATAATTCACAAATTGATAATACCATTAATTTGATATTTTGAAAGCGGAAAACCTAATATATAATAAAAATATGGTTTAGAAATTATAGCCCCGTCTCAGCATAATGTGGTAATTAATGCTTGAAATAATTATTATCTGTATGAAAAGAATAACACTTCATTTTGTCATTGTATATTCTTTAATATAAAGAAGAAAATTAATAAATAGACGTGGACTTGGTTTTCTTGTAATAGGTAAGACCAATAGAGGGGAATTTATGAAACTCACACTAGTTGTTTTCTGTATTATTTCTAGACTAGGAACACAATGTCTATGACTGCACGGTTGGTGCGGTGGCTGGGCAACTGGCTGCCGTGCAACGTGTTGCGGGTTCGTTTCCCGCACGGAACAACTCTTTGTGTGAACCATAAATTGTTGTTCCGGGTCTGGGTGTCAAGTGTATGTGAAATTGTATGTTTGTAACCGCACCCACGACACAGGAGAAAATCCTAAACGTGGGGCAACGTTTTTTTTTTAAAAAAATGTTAGGATCTTTTTAAACCTAGTATTATCCTACCGTATTCACGTTCCTTTTGTCCCAAATTTTCCAAAAGTTATAAAGGTCATTAGTACTTTAAGTAGAGCCACGTAAAACAAAATTACTAATTAAAATATCTTTATATATTATTTCATTTTTTGTACATTGTATTTTTGTACCGTTTAGTGCCCTTGGCAATGTTAACCTGTATCAAACGGTATAAAGGAGCTTTAAATATTAACCTGTAGGTTGAAATTTTTATTCATTAAGTTTTTTTTGATATAATTATGTGACGTGTGATTAATAATTTAGTATTTGGTATAATTAACAATAATATAACCATATAATTTAGTTTTATTATAATTGAATAGCTTCTAGTTCTTTGATATAGCAGTGAGAAACTGGTTTGCGTATCACTAAATAGTATTGTATAAAATAAAGTCGCTTTCTCTATTCTAAATCCCTGTGTATGCTGAAATATTTAAAACTGCGCAACGTATTTTGATACGATTTATAATATATGTATCTTCCCCTTCAATCACTTTGGGCTTACAAACATAATAATATCGCTTAAATAATGGAGAAAATTAGTGTAAGCATTGTACTCGTGCGAAGCTTCGCGTGTCGCTAGTTTCAATATACACAATATATGTTTATCTCAGACAAACTTTTGACTGCACGGTTGGTGCGGTGGCCGGGCAACTGGCTGTCGTGCAACGTGTCGCGGGTTCGATTCCCGCACGGAACAACTCTTTGTGTGAGCCACAAATTGTTCTTCCGGGTCTGGGTGTCATGTGCATGTGAAATTGTATGTTTGTAAACGCCTCCACTATACAGGAGAAAATCCTAGGGTGGGGCAACGCTTTTTTTAAAAAAAAAACAAAAGAGCTAGGAACTTAAAATAAATTATCACCTGCTACATGCCACTTAATTAGGAAAGCCCCGTTGGTGGGGACACGATACCATTTTTGACTCAACATTATTAACTGTTTTATGATTAATTATAACATTTTTCTCTTACACAGCCCTACCTAGAAAAGATCGGCATCCAGGACACGTGTGGTGTTCACAACCTCCACGGTGCACCTGGAGTATACTCCGGTCTACTATCAGTTCTCTTTGCTGCACTAGCCACAGCTGACACGTATGGATCCGAGTATAAAGTCATCTTCAGTGCGGTAAGATTATTATACTTCATCATTATCAGCCTATAAGTGCCCACTGCTGAGCAAAGGCCTCTTCTCATACGGAGAAGGTTAGAGCATTGATCACCACGCTTGCTCAATGCGGGTTGGCGATTTCAAACTTATAATTAGAAATTATAGGTCCAGCTTTCCTCACGATGTTTACCTTCACCGTATGTCAGTAGTGTCTTAATAATCATAGAAAGTACATATAACTCGGAAAAAGTCACATTGGTACTTGCCAGGTTTCGAACCCACACCCTCATGCATGAGAAGCGGGCTCCTTAACCTCCGGGCCACCACGACCCTCCGGGCCACCACGACTTATTATATTTATGTAACCTTGAATGTATAAATTGACCGGATTATATCTACTTGAGACAAGATTGTTATTACGACATAATTAATTCGTCAATTGTTTAGCAACAATTCACTGCTTCTTATAAATTATATTATTATATTATTTCATAGGTATAATACTATAACATATCATTATCATTGTCATCATTATACGTGGAATACCGGAACACGGATCCACGCTGGAAGAAGACTTGTTTAATTTTTCTATGTAGTCGTATAATAATATATGGGCAATCAATTTTATGTCTTAGTATTTTTTTTTATCATAATATGCATTATTTTTGTTCACAGGCCGACAGATCGAGTGCGACGCAGGCACTATATCAGTTGATAGCTCTTGCGACTACGCTGGTACTGTCATTTGGTACGGGTTTCATTTCCGGTATGTACTGTTTCTGACATTTACTATTTCTAATTGCCTTCCTATTTTATTTATTTATTTTTCTGTAACTGGTGTTTTCTCTGTATAACATGTTTGATTTGTAAGTTTGAGAATTGAAAGACCCGTATTATTTAATTTTTTTCTGTTTGACCTTTTTTATCCGACTTGAAAAGTTATTAAATATTTCGTCAGGTTAGTTCGTGGTAGAAAATTTAAGTTAAAGTTCGTATATAAGTTTGCGCAATAATGTACCGCGGCCCAGGCCTAGAGAAAGAGAAGAATGCTGTGGTTTTTAGTCAATTAGAGTCTGACACTTCCTCACGCCTCACCCAGGGCCGGAGAAATCTTGGACGATGAAACCTAGAGGAACCTTAAACGAAATTGTAGTTTACGAAAAACGGTACTTATCATTAAAAAATCAATTTCTAAGCTAAATTCCACCCAAGTTTGTTTGTTTGTTGTCACCAGACTTCGTGGCCTTTAAGTTTAAAAAGTATATTGATGAAAACTTTACTCCAGCCTAAGATACGAGTAGACTTATTCTTATTGAACAAAAAACATACAACATAACCTAAATACATAACATAATGTAAATAACAATAAACATTTAGTAATACAATGTTCATTACTAAAATGTTTCACAGCCTTGTTTAACCTTGTTCTACGGCTAAACTTTTCTCTATAATTTTGTGAAGGTACAAATATTAATTAAAATGGAAAACAAACTTCATTGATTTAGTGCTTGTTTAGAAATCTAGTGTTAATCGAGATTTAGTTTGCGCGTTTGTTTTAACTTCATGGCACTTTGTTATCTTTTTAATCCATTGTTTATTTATCGTACAGCAAGGCGTACTCCAAGGTTGCATTTTGTCGCCCATTTTGTTTATGAAGTTTTAATGCTTTAACTGTTTAGATTTAGTACGAAAATAATTAACTTTCTTCAGAAAACAATCTTACCTCAAATATATGTATGAGTATCGAATACTCCTTGTAGTTCGATATAACACTAACAGATATTTGATTACGGAAGCTTCTAGAAGTTTGTGTAGTGACTAACTAAAATTAAAAATAACGTCTTGTTCAGATTTGATCGGAAAACACTATACTTGTTTTGCAAACTAAGAAGTGCAGCGCGACGCGACGTCATCAAGACGAGCAGGGTACTCATGAATTAGTCCCGATGTGTCTTGAAACTAGAGTACTAGTAAATAGTTTCTTACTAAATCAATTACTTAATAAATTAAATATTATTTGAATTAATATTTTATGTAATAATACTAAGGTACTTTTTACAAAACCACCCTGATGGCAAAATTATGTTAATCAAAGACTTTTTAATGGTTCACAAGTTCAATCCAACTTATTCGTACGTTTTTGAAGTTATAAACGGAAAAATCACATTGAGGAAAATCGAAACAAAACTTAAAGTAGATTCCATCGAAATACATATAAATATTATAGGAATCTTGGCGTAAAATAATAAGCCTATGTACTTATCTTTTGAAATAAATTGATTTAAGCTGGTCGTTTTCCAGCCGGTATTATTATTTTTCTATTTATAACATTTCTAGTTGTATACTATAGACTATATAGTATACATATACTACACAATCTATCATTTTTCACACTGTTGTAATGATTAGGTTGCATAATATTTCAAAATATTGACGAAAGGTCAATTATTATTATTAATAACTATACAATTTTAAGTACCACAAGTAAAAAATAAACGTCACCATAGTACTTAATCTGTAAGCGCTTCAAAATAAATAAATTTAAGTGTGGGAGAGCCATGCTTCGGCACGAATGGGCCGGCTCGACCGGAGTGATACCACGGCCTCACAGAAAACCGGCGTGAAACAACCACATTGTTGTGTTTCGCCGTGTGAGTGAGGTTACCGGAGGCCCAATCCTTCCCCTTCCCAATCCCTCCCCAGTTCCTAAATCTCCAAATCCCTAATCCCAAAAAGGTCGGCAACGCACTCGTAACTCCTCCGTTACGGGTGTCCATGGGCGGCGCTGATTGCTTACCATCAACTAATCCGTTTGCCGACCTATTACATAAAAAAAAATAAAGAGTTAAATTATTCAACTTAAAACTATACACAACATTCTAAATTAGCATCTTCCCTATATTTGATTAAAACTGCAAAAGGATTGTTGGTTATGGTTAAAAGATTATTTATTTGAAAGATGATTCTAGAAACAGAACCGAAACGGATTCATTGGTCTGAATAATCTCAAATTTCACACAACTGAAGCGAATAAAAGCCTGTTAAAATTTAATACAATTTGTACGGCCGTCCGTTCGTTGTAGGGATTTATTTTATCCCGACGAATCGTTTGATTAACAAATCAGGATTGATTAAAACCCGCACGTCGAAATATCATGGATGCAACGTAATTCTCTTCGGGTGACAATGTTTTAGAGTTTCCAAGTTTACTAAGGGACTATGTCACTCTATTTTTCGGCGAAATATTTTTACACAATATTATTGTAACGTTAAAACCGACACGCACACATACATTTATTTCTTAGTAAAAAGAATTACACAAAGTCATGCCTATGTTATGTCAAAGTGAAAGCTTTTATTTAATAAAAGTATTTTTAATAATATTTTTTATATACAAAAATTAATCTTTTAATACTAAAATTCTAACCTAACTTAGTTAAAGGGATGTCTGTGTGAATTAAGTCCCTGACGAACAAAAGACATCACCCTTGAGTCGATTCATTTCACCTAGGTTATATGTTGTGGGTACAATAATTCCCAAATGAAATGAGGACACACAAAAAGTCTACTTGTACTTCGATGATATCGCCTTGATAAACAAAGTGAAATAAACCTACTAGAAGTAGCTATAAAATACATTTTTAGATACACGTGTAGTTTGGTACATAAAACTTATTTATATTCTCACAAAATTATATATAGATAGTCTATTTTGATTAATTCGACATTATAATATCTAGACTTCTTAGAAAGTTTCAAAGATCTGCCGTGGGTGGTGGCGCCCAGGCAAATTGGTTCGGTCAAGATAATTATGGCAACAGACGATAAAATCGGCTAGAACTAAAGCAAAATATTAGCTTTTGTAATCTACAGTTATTTTTATCTTTATACAATTTTTAAAAATAGAATTTATGATTTTGTTTATAACTTACTTTTTTAGGAATAAATTTCTTGACGCATAATGCGAAGGTAACGCAATCGATATTAATCCAGATAAAATAAAATGAAAACGAATTTAAAAGAAAAATAAAAATAAATTTTGAAGTGAAAATGATCCCTAACAACAGAGTGGGTCTTTTACTTACAAGCGTTTTCTAAATTTGTCGATACCGGGTAAGAGTTTTACATAAGGGGTGAATTGGAGTATTCCCTTTCCCGTTTTAACCCTTCATTGGATTTATTCATTAATTAATTGGATGTAGGTATTACGGGACGAATGGAAGGTTCGGGAAAAGTGGTCTCTTGTTATAGTTCATTTGCGATGATGTTTTTTCGAGTTATTTTTTATTTGTAAAGATTCTATAGCAATATTGACTGATGTAGTGTTGTTAGACTTGTATGTTGCCTTGTAGTGTTTTATTATCTATGCACCAATAAGGAGTTCAGGGTGCCCAATTATGTCCTATTCCTCGGAAAAAGTGTTATTGAGATTTTTCTAAAGGTTACTACGATATAGCTATCTATAGTAAGGATTGACTTTTGTTTTGGGTTTAAAGAACCATACTCCATCTCAAAATATCTTCAAAGACATTTTTAGGACGTTGATTCCAAATAAGATCGTCTTAACACAGATCACCTATCATTATACCTTGGAATAAAACTTTGCTTTTATTCGACACTCGGCAAGCAAGAGTTACCAGTATTCTTGTTTACCGACTGTCAATATTATTGTCAAAGTCATAAATATTTATGCAAACTAAATCATACACAAGTATCTTTAAAACGTTAAGATAGAATAAAAGTCAGTTGATTTGAATGGAGAATTACAAGTAAGAATCTATATCGTTAATTGTTAAAAAAAGTTTTTCAACCTCACCAACACAATATTGATTATTGCGGACACATACCTCATCTATGGTGAGAACTATACAGATCACTATTAGTTAAAAGAACAAGTGAAAGGATCAATTTCTTTCCATTCATTTTAAATCCTTTATTGTATCGCACATAGCGCTCACATACGCATACTGACAATTTGAAAAACAGTTTTAATTCACTCTAAGAATCAAAGTTTACATTCGGTATTAGATTTTGAGTTAATATTTCCAGTGGAGCCAAACGAAAATGCTGCTAAGCGTTCTGAATATAATCGGTAATAATTACAATATTATACAGTAATAATTACAAATCTTTTGTGGTCAAAAAAACATTATAACATTATCATCCCGGATACACTCAATATACTGGCTCCATAATAAAGACAAGAATTAATCAATAACATGTATAATTAGTTTGAAACTTATTTATAAGCAGCCCTCTCAGCTATGAGCTATTTATGTAAATTGAAAATTAAATTATTTGTTTACAGGTTTGATCGCGAAAACGAAGTTGTTCATGCCCCTGGAGGTACACCAGCGATACAACGACGACGTAAACTGGGAACTGCCCTAACTTAACATAACAATGGCGTCTTTATACTGAAAGCTTTCAATTGTAAACCTCATGATTATCAAACAGTTCCGGAAGAAAAAATAAAAAGGAATAAGTAAGAATGTGTTATTTTTTCGGTTACAATGAAAATGTCGTTGAATAAGTTTGTATTTTGAAAATGGAAAAGTGTCTTTTGCAAAACCAAGTAATTTATTTTTTAGAAAATGTTTGTAAATTACCAATAATTAGCAATGAAAGAATGAGAAACATGGATATTATGTGACAAGAAAATACCTGTTTTAAATGAAAATAATTCTTATCATGAAAACTCTGGGTCGAAAATACATTGAAGAAGAAATTTCCTGTTTCTTCTCAACACAACCATTTAATAAAAAAAAATATGTGTCTTTTACGCTTTCGGAGCGCTTATGCCACAAACCTAGATAACCTAAGATACTAGTTTAGTTTATAGGAAGTTAATATAAAACATAGGCTAATAATTATTTTATACTCTTTAAAAAGATCAAAGTTAAGTAATAAATAAGATAGTAAATAAGGTATAATACAAGCGAATATTGAATTTTGTGTGCATTACCTCTATACCAATTACTACTACGAATTAAATGTATCACGTAGATATTAGACGTGGAAACTCATCTACTACTCAGAAGTATTAATGGTTATTTTAATTATACTAAAAGTGTTCTGAGCAGCTTCACAAACCGTGTTTCCTAGGCCTTTCTGCCATCTAATCACTACAGAATCGGCAAAATGGTGGAAATCCGATCCCACAAATCAATTCGCTTCCAGTTTTATCATTAGAGCCATTAAGAGAAAATTCTTTGCCAGAGTTTGGGTTCAAGGCCTCAGTGAATAGATTGTTCAATGGGAGGCGTTCCATCGTCGGTCGCATTACTGCTTAACACCAGGTGAGAAAGCGGCCCAACGCCAGTTCATCACTAATAATTCCTTAATAACCCTACTTTTGTTTTCAAAAGAAAACATATGTTAGGGAATGAGTTAAGTAACCATTACAGACCTGAATACAGAATTATCATCAGTGGCTCGTGAAAGACTGCTGGCCTTTCTTACATAATGGAGGTTTCCACTATCTCCACGTAAATGCTGCTCCATTTCTAGTTCTGTTTCGCCGTGAGAATGAAGGTACCGGAGGCTCAACCTCCCACAATCTGTAATTTCCAAAGGCACAAATCCCTGACCCAACAAAGACCCAGAACGCACTTTTACTTCTTAAATTTTGTGGGGGTCCAAGGTCAGCGTCGATTGTTTATTATCATGTGACCCAGCTGCCCGTTTTCCAATTTGTCACATAAAAAACCCACGGTAAAATTATAGTGGTTGATAATGATCAACCTTTCCGTCAAAAAAATAATAATTTTATGTGTAAACAAGCAGCTAACGGATTACCTGATGGTAAGCAATTGGTGTCGTCAACGGACACCCGCAACGGAGTTACGAGTTTGTTGCCGGCCTTTGGGGGATTAGAGTTTCGCATATTTAAGAATTAGGGAGGGGTGGAGGGAAAGGAAGGATTGGGCCTTTAGTAACTCCAATCACACGACGAGACACACGCTGTTGTTGTTTCGCGCCAATTTTATGTGGGGCCGTGGTATCTTTCCGGTCGAGCCGACCCATTCGTGCCGAAGCATGGCTCTCCTACACTTTAACTCCCTAAGCAACAAAACATCAATCAGATATGATTTCCAAAATAATGCCCTAATTTTATTATTTTTATTGTATAAGAGTGTATATTGTAGTCGTAAGCTTTATGTTAAGTGAATATAATAATTATTATTTGAAAATATATAAATAAAACTGTTATACTCATTCTTGTTTTTGCATATTATTGATTTTGTTCCAATTGTTATTTCTATGTCAACTCTAGTTTATTATTGTAATTAAAATATAATATTTTTATTACAAACGAGTTTTATAGTTATAATCCTAAGATAATTTACCAATAAGAATTGCAATAATTCCTTTTTAAAATCACACAAATTAATCAGCAGCATTACGATGTTCCAGCTAATATTCCTTTTTGCACGTTAAGCATCATCAGCCTTTAAGCACCTGCTGAGCAAAGGCTTTGCCTCACATGGAAAAAGTTTAAGGATTTACGTCTTGTCTACCGATTTATGAGACACAGTAGAAAACACATTGTGCCACGCGTTTATCTGCGCTCCGGGTTAATCAACACGCATGTTCAAGGCTGATTGGTCATTCAAACTTTTAATTTCAACTATTATATGCATGTGTCTTCACTATGTTTTCCTTCACAGTATGTCAGTAGTGTCTGAACGATCTTAGTACTTACATATATGTAACTCTGACAACGTCACATTGAACACTACTACTTAGACATTTTCCTAATCACCACCGTTAGGCAAAGCACGTGCGTCAATCTTCGTGCCACAGCTACAAAGTCAAAGTCAAAGTCAAAAGCATTTATTTCAAATAGACAAGGCAGACATTTTTGAACGTCAAGCAAAAAAATGCAAGAGGTTTAACTTACATTATAGGGCACGCACATTTACTCGTACAAAAACATTGAAGTTTAGAAACAATTAACAACATGGTGTACATATTAACAATTTAAATCAAAAATTCCTCTGAACATTCTGTTTAGTAGGACCAGCTAGTCTGCAAGCACAGCTACATTCTGCAGATCACCAAATAAATAAATATTAAAACTTAATTAACAATAACAATAGCTATCCACCATTTGCGTCAAAATGTAACACTAATAAATTTTTATAGTCGCAATGCAAACAAAAATGTGCTTACAGTAAGCAGGGTTAAAAGCTGTTTTACCATAAGGTGTTAAAGTTGAATAAAGATATTGGATAAACGGGCCTTTTTTCGAGTAAAATAGGTATTTCCTGTTGAGTTGGGAGAGGCAGTTTAATCGCAAATTAAGTGTGTATTATAAAGGTAGAAGGAGTCCTCGAAAAGGTTCTTTGGGAGTCTTTTGGAAGTCTGATACGGAGAATTTGTTGAAAATCTAAGTGTACCTACCCACGTAGCACAGGTGAGTGAGAAAATTTTAACATAAACGAATTTTACGTGTTTATAACAAATAATAAGCCTTTGTAAGCTTTTGTCTCGAAGTTAATGTCGTTGTTTGTTAAAAAATATCCAACTGATACATCATCACGGTTTTTTAAAATGTATTCTATCTTTCATCAACGAATACATATTATTTAAAGACTAGGCACTCCCGCGTGGTATTACTGGTTGCATGGCTTCTGTCGGTCATAGTGTAATATTTTGCAGGTTTTTTAATGGTTTCTTTATGTAAATTTTATAGGTTTTTTTATGTAAATGTTAAATAATGATCGGTAATTATCCAATTCTAACCAGTAGTTTTGGTTAAACTAAATTATAAATGCGTAAGTAGCTCTATCTGTCTGTCTTTTCGTCACGCCTAAACTTGTATATGGAAACTTGGTACAGATATAGTTTGAAACTCGAGAAAGGATATAGAATAGTTTTTCAAACAAAAAACTGCAAGTTGTCACTATTCCACGCGAACAAAGTCGCGGGCAAAAGCCAGTTCACTATAAAAATAACACTGCCACACTGCCACAAGAAACTTTGACTTTAGTCAAAGACATTTTATTTCTATCATTACTTTAGGCATTCTTAAAACATAGCATCTCAAAATAAAATACGTTTACAGTATAATTCGAAAAAAGAATTTGGAATTATTTTTCAATTCTTATGCTTGAGGCAACCACCTGGGTCCCTGTCAAGTTGATCGTTAAAGACTTTAATGTTAGTGACAAAAGCTTCAAATTCGTTTGGCAAGTTTCCTAAGTGTTTCTTACTAGCTGTCATGAGGCGTGTAAGAATGGAATTTCAGGGGAAAATATTATTTGTATCATCGTTCGTTGCTTTTGATATATATCAGGATTTCGTTTGAATTGTTAGATCTGTTATATTTATAGTACTTGTTATTGTTATGTTTATGACTTAGTATTTTAAATTTTACTTTATTGTTAGCCAAGTTGTATTGTAACCAAGTAAGTCATATATTTTTATACTAGCTATGTGTAGATTTAAATAGACAAGATTAAAACCATTAGAACAAGTAAATGGCCCAATTTCGCTAAAAATCGAGAGAAGTGGCAATCTCTGGAGAGCCTTTACTTAAAGAGGTTAGGAGTCCAGTTGCCGTTGGAGACATTACAAGGACATCAACTGTTTATCATTTTAAGAGTACATCTCATATATTCGAAAAAATATATTTTTTATTTTAAATTGTATGAAATAAATAGTAGTGATATTACGGCGCGCATATAGCAAAACATTCATTGTAACAACAAGTATAACATTCTGATTACAATAAGTGTTATGAGTGCGTTGCTTTCCAGGTAGGAAATAAGGTAGGTAGTCTTTTAATAATCTTATGAAGAAACCACATTTACAATGATAATCAAGGTAAACTTCTGAGAAACGTTGAAAATATATTTATAATGATGTGTAATATACTGTGTGTGTCATGACGCGAGGAACGTCGCTGCATGAGTATGAGCCGGTAACATGGCAAAAAAAAAAACGAGTATTTCGTCGTTTTTGACCCTCGCAACGACGGAGGAGTTACGAGTGCATTGTCAACCTTTTGGGGATTAGGGATTTGGAGATTTTGGGAAAGGTAACGGATTGGGGTAGGGGAAGGATTGGGCATCCGGTAACCTCACTTCGGCCATTGTGAGGCCGTGGTATTACTCCGGTCCATTCGTGCCGAAGCATGGCTCTCCCACACTTAAACTGTAACTTGAGTAAGCCGGTAATATTTGTAAGTCTCAAATTGACTAATAACCTTAAAATATGTAGTGTTATTACTTAGAACTACATGTAATACACAAACCGGGATTGCGGTTGCAAGAACAATAACATACTGAGACTCCAGCCTGGAGCAGAAAGAAAGGCCCAAACCAGGCAGGCGGTTCATCAAAGTCAAAGTCAAAATCATTTATTTCAACTAAACCATAAATAGGTACTTTTAAAACGTCAAAATAGAATAGTCAGACTGTTTGTCAGGGAAGATAAGTGCTCATTAAAAATTTTAGATTCGGATGGAGAAGAACGAGCATGAAACTCCAATGCGATGGTATCCACGACCCCGGCTGATTATTAAACAGATTAGGCCATTTTAATGGCTTTTCAATCCAGTTGACTGCGACGTACATAATATGTAATTGCGTATCGTAATGAATTCAAAGAATCTGGTATTAGTATTTTGTTTTAACTGTCTTAGGTGGAGGATATTTGTAACTGAAACCGTCGGGTTTGTTTATGCAAATTACCATTATTTTACTCTGAGATGGAAAACCTATGGAGACCTTCAAAAACACACACTACAAAACTAAATGAGTCCCACCTGGGGTATGGTGATTGTCATAGTCAGACTCTTACTAACTAACAACCAGCCCATTCCTCCTCCTGCCCTAGGCCGAGGCCACGTTAGTTTATTGCTCTGGACCCATTGGCGATGTGTTTCGCCATGTGAGTGAGGTTACCGAAGGCCCAATCCTTCCCCACACCCAATCCCTAAATCTCCAAATCCCTAATCCCTAAAAGGTCGGCAACGCACTCGCAACTCGTATGTTGCGGGTGTCCATGGGCGGCGCTGATTATTTACCATCAGGTAGTCCGTAAGTTCGTTTCCCGATCTATTAAATAAAAAAAAATTGGCCCTACTGGGCCTCATCTGTATGTGGTCAATTGGCTCTTTGAGGCAACAGTCTGATTTGAAGCTGTTAGTTGAACGGCTGATTAAGCTCTAATTAGTCGTTTTACTAACTATATACATATATAGTGTAAGTAATGTTCAGTGTAATCAAATTAACTTTATCTACGTAATACTAGTACATATATGCAAGGAGTTAATTAATAAGTATATGGAAACTTGAACAATGAGTTATTCTCTTGAGATAAAGTTTCATTCTAGGAATTACTTGTATTAATGTAATTAGAATGTGTCTAAATATGCTTTATCTATTTGTAAAGTTATTACCTTAGTAGTTACGGCTTCAAACACTTGGTTGATGATATAATAAAATCGGGAATATCACGATACCTAAAATTACTAGCTGTGAAAATTCTATAGAAAGAAAGAAAGAAGAAAGAATGAAAATTCATTTATTCGCCTTCAGACATGAAAGCCAGAACAAAACAAAAATACAACACAAAAAACAATAAAAAGGTTAAAAAGACAGAAAAACAAAAATACGCTAAATATACAGTATCATATACACAGTGTTGGCAGACAGCAGAACACACAGTGTTGACAGTGTTCTATAGGGTCCCATAATAATAAATTATGGAAAACTTGATGTAAGCATCTTCAGTGGCATTTTTTACAGTGTGGTGCTTGGTGAGGGCAATTCTCTATCGGGCTTCGGCGCAGGCCAGGAGTTGAAATAAGATTGTAGGTAAGAATATCACGCTTCCTCCTCACCCACGCCAAACAGATGTATGAAAAGAAAAAAAATCCTATCAATTTTATAGGATACCTCATAATTACTTACCCAAGTATAAAAAGTGTTTCTCCTGGCTAGACATGTGAATTGAAATGTGAATGATAAAGCTAATAATACTGCCAAGCAAATATCCCCACCAGACGCCAAATAGGGAGACATTATCAAAATTATTGAATTTGTATAAATTTCGCCAAATTGCCTGCTACGTAGGGAGATTAACTTTATCAAATAAATTTCATTTTAAACGTCTAGCCTTGTTGGTTTTTCAGTGAAAAATATTTTTCGTATAAATTTATATTAAGTATTTCTGTTTCCCCTAAAGCGATGTGCAGGGTCTGATGGGAAAATATGACGTGTTAATAGGCCGTTGCAAAAGTAGCCAATTTGAAAATGTTAATGTGTTGGAAATTATTGTATTATTTTCGTTGATCTGTGTGTTGAGATTATCGAAAACAAGGTACAATTCTAGATCAAGGAATTTCGTAGGTTTAAAAAATCTATTTAGAGTCTAGAATGAGTGTCTAAAAACATAGTACTTACTCTTGAATTTTTCAGTATATGTACCTAATTACCAATTTTTGCTTTGAACAGCAAAACTGTGACATGATCTTTCGATGGTATTTCCAAAGGGAAAAAAACATAACTGATAAAAAGGTCTTAATTATGCCTGTATTATCATGCTATGACATTATCATGCTATCATCAAAAGTTCATGTTACTCCATCGTTAGGCTATGAGCCTTCTTCAAAGAGGCAAGACAAAAAAGGTTTTGCCATATTACCAATCTTAGCTGTTGGGCACCAGATCACCGCTCAGAACATTCACGATTACCAGAGAGCTGTTGCAAGGTCCCTGTGAAATGACAAAGACCTTCATACAATAACAGACGTGATATTATGTTTCATTATTCATACTATTAGTGAAATAAATTAGCTTTCTACTCTCATTAACATAAGTCTGAATACATAAGTTTAAACATACAGCGAAGCTCGTTACATTAATTCAGACATATTAAATGAAATGTGAAAATATAATCTTAGGCAAAGACAGGGCAATTTATATGGATTAGTCCTAGGCTAAGGAGTTTAGGCTATAAGGCTATAGATACTTTAATACTTTAGGCTTTACTTGATGGGTACTTAACGGGCCATCTGAGCTTTGTTGTGCAAACGGATAAACTAGCTCTACAATGACACCGTTTGTTAAAGGATTTGATGACGAATTTATAACTTGCTTCGGGATTTTGTGGCTTTTGTCGTCATTTGTTTGGCTGGATTCTAGATGGCTATGCTGATAGGTAAGGCTGTAAATTTAGCTTCGATTCGTCCAAAATACCGCTTCAACTGGCTGCTGTATATGCCATAAAATTCAAGTTAATGCTGCTTATATCATAATTAACTTTAAGTAGTATTTATACACGTGATTTGTGTGGCATCTGCATTAAATTGGTCATGGATTTTATATATTTTTCTCACAATATGTGAATATAAAGTCTCTACAAACAATCTACCCATATTAGGCCCATTAACATGATCCAATAACAAATGTGATAGGTTTCCTTAATTAAATTAGTTATCGAATTACTTTTATACAATCAATAATTATCTACATTGCCTTTAACAGTTCACATACCTCTCACAACTGCAAGATCTATTATTATCAGTGTGTTTCGGTTCGTAAGAACACTTAAACTGGTCAATATCCCTCCACTATATCACTTGAGAACTGGGCAAGCGGCCAAGGCGTTGCATAAAATTAAGAGCCAATAGATTACATGCTTGGCTTGACTGTGCCCCTAGATATAGTGGTATTTTATGCCGGTACTAAGCCTACTAATACGCTTGGTTTAATTGTTTGTGTATGTGTATATAGAGGAAGCTAAATAAGTATGTTTTGGGCAACTAGATGGAGATAGGTTTGTATATGCTTATGTTCTAAATCTTTGAGTGTTGAAGGAAAATTATCTATTCACTGCCGGTCACTGGTGTCCAAAACGGCGCTTCACATGTTAAGAATGGTTATAGTTAAATGGGATCAAGTTCTTCTACATTTCTACAGTTTCTTTGTTGATTATATAATTGCAACAAAATAGGATTTAACTAAATGTTTGACTTAAAAGAAGAGGTCAACACCAATATTTTCAAAATAACTATTTTCTACCCAGTTTTTGTTCTTCAAATAACTAAATAGAAGTTTGTATGTATGTCGTACGCAACTAGCTGAATACAAACCATCCAATGAATTGCCTAGCCAGTTGATTGAGTACATTATTTTATTAGCTATTTTACTGATGACAATTTGATTTCTGAACAAGTTGCACTCTCTTTAGCTTTCAACTTACTTGTAGTGTTATGTAATAAGCTTGTTCATCATCAGCCTATAAGTGCCCACTGCTGAGCAAAGGCCTCTTCTCATACGAAGAAGTTTTGAGCATTAATCACCACGCTTGCTCAATGTGGGTTGGCGATTTCAAACATATAATAAGAACTTGTAAGTTCTTAACTTGTAACCTTCACCGTATGTTAGTAGTAATTAAATAATCATAGAAAGTACATATAACTCGGAAAGAGTCACATTGGTACTTGCCAGGTATCGAACCCACACCGTCATGCATTAGAAGCGGGCTCCTTAACCTCCGGACCGCCACGACGATCGTGCATTAGCTTGTTAATAAGAAACACATATTTTTTTCAAGTTCCTTATATAATAACTTTACTCCTGAATTATCAAGTTTTAGGGATGAAATCTACTTACACATGATTACAAATCAAAAGAGAGGATGTTCAGCATCTTTTGGTGGAGTGCATCAGAAACGAATCTGAGAGAAACAGAATTATTAGAGAACTAAATATAAATAGGTTAGACGTAGGCGTATTTTATTATTTTTTGGCTCGCCCACTATCCCGTGAGGAAAAAATGATATACTCATTAGTTAATATTTAAAGCACTGTTTTTGTTTAGTTTGTTTATTTTGTTAGTTAACTAAAGATTAGTTTATGATGGGACTGACGTGAACTGTGTTCAAAGGTCCCATAACATAAAGAATAAAAAAAAAATGATTACAAATCCAACATTCCTTAAAAGAAAAAAGGTTACGTAATTTACATTGCATAAATAAAATAAAAAAAATCTCGGCTAGGACGTCGAATAAAATAAAAAGGTGTAAAAAGAGTATTAGAGCACCGACTTCACTCCAGAGACTACGGAATTCATTATTGAAGCATAGATTTTAAAAGTTATTTTTTAAAAGCTTCACCATAACCTCATCACACTGTAATTTCCCATGTGTAGCTATGAATTTTGGTGGCATATTTCATACACTTTAAATAACGGTTTTTACCTTGCATGCAAAATTGTGCATAGCCTAGTTTGCATTGATAATACCTCACAGTAATCTGTATAACAATACAACTTGGTGCTTTTAGGGTAAGGAGGGTGGGAGAAGAGGTAAAACTAGTCTTTATTAGATCGATCTTCTTCCACACAGCGTGGGGTGAGACGAAGTGTCAGATTCTTACTGACTTAATGCCACTCCGTTCTTTATCCTGTTTCGAGCCGTTCGCGGTACAGCCCGCGCCAAACTTTGTGACCGCCCTGAATATAGTCGTGAGTCCCAATTTGCGCATGGTACAGTCGAGTGGGCAATACGTAATCAACCAATTATCTTTTTCTAATATTTTTATTACTCGTTGATTATGTATACACTAATATTGGTTGATTACGTATTGCCCATTGGACTGTACCATGCGCAAGTTCGGACTCGCGACCATATTCAGGGCGGCCACAAAGTTTGGTGAGAGCTGTACATCATTGCGATTTTTACCCGCAACCCTGGCTGGAAAATCGGTTATGAAACAATGAAACAATAAATTTATTCTTCAAATAGGCCATAAAACGGCACTTTTACACGTCAATTTATATGTGAAGAACTAAATGAAGCCGCCAAGTATGACCATCATTCCAATACAAGTCATAAGACTAAGCCGTTGTCGTAGGTACTAGACTAAAACTGCCTTGCAATGTGCGTACGTGTTTATAACAAAATACGAAGTAGCTTTAATATTGATTTCGAGAAAATTTAAGACAGAATTATACAAGTTGCTTGTTGAATCTTATTTTTACAGTTTAAAAGATTTTATGGATGTGAGATATTAATTCTTTATATCAAAATATACATTTTTGAATGCTATGGTGTATCTTAGCGAAACATGTTGAGCTACTGTACTAATGGTCATCATCATCATCAGCCTATAAGTGCCCACTGCTGAGCAAAGGCCTCTTCTCATACGGAGAATGTTAGAGCATTAAGTACCACGCTTGTTAATGCGGGTTGGCGATTTCAAACTTATAATTGGAAACTAGCTTCCGCCCGCGGCTTCGCCCGCGTCAAATTAGTATTTGTCAACCCTGGTCCCTTATGTCTAAGAGACTTTTACAGGGGCCAGCCCAGGAGTACCATTTTCAAATTCCACACTTCTTGTGGAATTTGAAAACGGTACCCCTCTTGCTCATTGCTAAACATAAGCGGGGACTGTAGTGCGTCATAAAACTTGTGTGTGTCGGACACCCTGATCAGTGTGTTAACATGGGTTTGAAAAACAATATCGCGCGATGCGAACTGTTCACCACACACCATGGAAGCGACTTCGTTTAATAAGGGTGCATTATAACATCTTTCATGTTCCCCGCTTGGCGTACGATCTGCGAGTATTACTAATTTGTGATTTTCCCGTGGCATTTTTTCTAAGGCTGTTTTGAAGGTGTTAATGAGGTTATTATGTTGGTGCAACATTCTTTGAATGTTTAAAACAATGTCCCTCTCATCTCAATAAATCTGTAGAAATTTTGGTTGATCATTGTTTGTGGAAAGCAAAGATCCTATGATGAACTTGCCCTTATACCGTAAATATGGGTGAAAATCCAGGCATGATGACAGGAAAAATCGCCGAGATTCATTGCTGTCCTTTCTTCTGTCGTTGCTCCTCGGGGTCACCAAGCGTTGGTACTGATACTTTGCCTCCAGAACAGCACATACCTAGGGTCTCTTCCTTCCACTTGAGTGCCTCACAGTGTCTGCATTTATTGACCATTCTATCTATGAGGACTAATCGATGATTAAAGTAATCAAGTAACAGATCATAGTTAAAAGCAGCATCGGCAAATGCCTCCCACGTATTCATCGTAAACGTACGTCTCCTTTGCCGCTCGGCATTAATTAAACGTCGTCTACGTGTTTCTTCGGAGGTCTCTGCGGCTATGTACGAAGCTTGATGCTCAGCATCTAAGATTTGGCGAGCTTGGGTCTGTTGAGAAGTCTCAGCAGCTCTTTGATCCGCGTGACGCTCGGCATCAATGATTTGGCGAGCTTGGGACTGTTGAGAGGTCGCAGCAGCTCTTTGAGCCGCGTGACGCTCGGCATCAATGATTTGGCGAGCTTGGGACTGTTGAAAGGTCGCAGCAGCTCTTTGAGCCGCGTGACGCTCGGCATCAATGGCTAGAAGTCTCATTCCAGTGATCTGGCAAGTTTAGCAGCCCGAGCTCTGCTAGAGCTTTTAGCTAAATTGGACTTTCGTTTGCGAGGCATCGTAGAACAACAAAAATGAAATGAATCGAACAAAACAGATGTACAGATTAAGTTTTATTATATTAAAAAACCTTTGTTCACCCTACCTGCACCTACTTGGATAAGTACTTATTTACAACCATTGCAAAAAAGTAGGATGCTATTAGATTAATAGAATAAAAAAAGGAAATAAAAGCAAATCGTATTTATTTAAAGTAACGGAAACTATCTTACCTACTTGTAACGTTGTAACTATGAACTAAAAGAAATATAAGTATGTGCAAAATTTATTTACAGGATCTAATTAATAAAAAACACTTAAAAAGTTATAGAAACAATAAAATAATTTAACTGTATCGAAAAATGTAATTCTCTAAAGCGCAAATTTCTCTTATCGCACCCGACAACGACCTCTGTCCTCACGTGTCTGTCCGTTCGGGTAGACATAGTTAGATTCGTGCGCTTCCCCACCACACGACAGCGTCGCGCCGCACTTCGGCGAATGTGCGCGACGCCGACGGCAGCGACGGCGATGCAGAGTGTTCATTAAAAGGAATTTATACTTCAAAAGTGAACTATTTTGTAACTTGATACACCCAAAACCCTTCTAAATTACATGTTCCTAGGTTCAATAGTTAAGATTTCGTATATCTACATAAAGGTTGGCTTTGTAGATCCCGTTCCGAATCCGTTCCGGGTCTTATCTTCAATTCATCCCCTATTCACTACATATCACACTGATAAAATTTTCAAAATGGTCGTACAAACGATTTTTTGTTTCTTATGACGTGATATTTGACGAAATTGCATACTAACTTTCAACCCTTATATCACCCCCTAGCTGGTCGAAATTTCAATAATGCTAGAACAAATATTTCTTGTTTTCTTATCAAGTGCTTAAATATTAAGTTTTATGGTTTTATCTTTAAAAAATAAGAAATCCCATACAAACTTTTAACCCCTATTTCAACCTCTTTATCCCTGTTTTTCGAAAAAAAAAGTAGCCTATGTTCTGTCTCAGGGTCTAAAGATTGTCTGTACCAAATTTCATTAAAATCGGTTGCGAGGTTTAAGCGGGAAAGCGTAACAGACAGACAGAGTTACTTTCGCATTTATAATATTAGTTAGGATTATAAGTCCAGGTTTCCTCACGGTGTTTACCTTCACCGTATATCACTGGCGTCTAAATAATCATAGAAAGTACATATAACTCGGAAAAAGTCACATTGGTACTTGCCAGGTTTCCTCATGCATGAAAAGCGGGCTCCTTAACCTTCGGGCCACCACGACATGATTAATAATAATATTACCATCAATGTATAGCCATGTTTTGCGCAAATAAGTGATTTATTTACTTACTTATTTATTGATGTAAACCTGACTAGAAAATACTCATTACAGAACATTTAGGTCATAAAGCAAAGTAATTAGGAAGTTATTTCAGGAGACTAGACAAACAGAATGAGAGGCAACCTCAATTGCTTCATTACAAACTTTTGTTCACTGAATCCACGTTCCGTTTGTGCGAATAGTCTGACAATCAAATCATCAACATTATTCAGGTAAATTGATCAGAAAAGTTATGAAATTGTGTCCCAACAGTTGATGAAGACATTCAGTGTTTCTATTGAATTTCTTTTGTAACTATGTTACGTAATTTTGAATTTAGTATATAATGTGATTTTGTATGTATTATGAAAGTATAGTTGGCAAGCTTGGGTTTTTTGGCCGGAAACGTGCCTGTAATTCCTCTGGTGTTCATGGTTGGTGCCGAACATTCACCATCAAGTGTTCAGTCTGCTCGTAACATCTATGGCAACTGAGCATTATCTTCTGTGTATATCCTAAAGTTCTCTTATAGTCTTTAGACTGATTGGACTGATTTCAATAATTACGTTGTGTTGTGATATAAACATATTTTTTTTGTCAGGGGAAAATCATCAAATGACTTCTCTCGCCCAGGGTAAAGTGAGAGAGAGTGTCCGACTTTTACAGACTAAAAACCCCCGTTTCTTCTCCTGCTTTGAGCCAAGGTCACGGTGCCTTATTGCGCTTAGCCCGCAACTCCGGCTAAATATCAGCCCTATAGGACCCCGTCTGTGGTGGTCTATTGGCTCTTTAAGGCGCGCGCGGCACGCTACGCACCGTACGCTCGGGTTTGGTTCTGATCGGGCAAAACATTCGTTTTGATGGGAAGATGTATGATTGCTGTGAGAATGTTTCTGTGACTAACAAGAGTTAAAAATAATTTTTATGTCCTACTGTTATTGAAATATCAGAAAAATGAAAATACAGGAACTAATACAATTGTTTATAATTTGTGCGGCGCGCAATGTACGATGAAGGCATAACGCCCCGTCTCCGTAAATGAGACCTTTGTAACTCTAATCGTATTCACAGAATTAAGTTCTTAACTTCAAATGATTTTGTACCTAAAAACAGATTTGTGTTGAGATTAAATCTTTATATTCATTGAACAGCAGATCATTATGGACATACAAACGTTAATACATAATTAAGTAGTTTCCGTAAGCCATTCCATGTGTGATTATACTACATCTGCCAATCACAGCGGCAGCATCATTAATGATAGCTATGCTTGATGATCTATGAAGACTGATGGTCATATAAACAAGGTTTGTATACGTACTTCTGTAATTATAAAGATTACTGATATAATGTAGTTCGTGTCCAGTCAAAATGTTTGAGCGACCACTGATACCGTTTCTTCTTGTGTGTATTTTATATTCTGTCAACGTAAGTAAATCTAGATTAAGAAAATTAATCTCAAAACTTATTCAAGAAGAAGCATTATAAGTCTAGAAAAGTAATTATTTCAAATGAATTCTAAGGTGGTTCTATCATAATGACGCTATATCGACAAGAGACAGACATTAATATTCCTTAAGTTTTCATTAGTCTTACAACAGCCCAAAAATACCTACCAAATGAGAAGAAAAAGTTAGTACAAGAAGTAAATTAATTCTCCAAAATGCTTTACAGTGTCTCATTGTTGTACCAGAACGCGTCCTGGTGAGGGATGTCAATGAAAATTATATCAAGTATGCGACGGCCACCGTCCGCAGATCCAGCAAGAGAGGCGAATATGTTGTCAACGTCGATATTTATAACAAAGTCGTTATTGGAAATAATGTTACGGTAAGAATGTTTTTATTATCTTGCTTCTTACTAATATTATAAATGCGAAAGTAACAATGTTTGGATATTTGTTACACGCTCACGCCTAAACGGCTGGACGGATCTGGATAAAATTTGGCACAGGCATAGGATACAATCCGGAATAGGCTACTTTTTATCAACGTACCACGCGAGCGAAGCCGCAAGTGGAAGCTAGTTAAAAATAAAGTTGGTTTAATTAACGTAGTGGCTCGGAAGTTTAGGCGTCCGCTTCTCACTCATGAGGGTTCGATACCTGGCAAGTACCAATGTGACTTTTTCCGAGTTGTATGTACTTTCTAGGATTATTTAGAGATCACTGTCATACAGTGAAAGAAAACATAGTGAGGGAACCTGGACTTATTATTTCTAATCTGCTTTCAACAAACGTGAAGATTACCTATATATACAATCAGTTTCCTGAAATACAGGGTGTCCCTAGTTTAGTGATGGATAATAGGCTAATGATGAGATGTCTATGATACGAGTATTTGGTCTTTAATCATCCTAATACCTTATACCTTAAATGGGTGGGTATGGTACTTAGCCCGTCAAGGGGAATGTGCAAGCATAACGTGTTGTGTAAATTGGCTTGAGTTCGACCTGTACAAAAAAATCTTAACAAAATCTTAACAACGAACGTAGGTTATAATCTATTGTCACATTTTTGTAATCAGTTGTTCTAAATAAATTATTTCTAGTATCACATAACGCACGTATAACGTTGCAATAAAAGCGTTCTTTGATACAAAGTTGAATGACGCATCAGCGTTTAAATTCTGACCCTGGACTTCACTCCAGAAATCTTCAAATTGTGTGTTTCAATTTGGGAACTAAAACTTAATTTGACTTTCCTAGGTGAACATAAATTTGCATGAATACAATAGCAAATACAACCAATACGTCCGCACTCCGATGGTCTTCCACTACAAATGGTGTGAACTGGTGTTACATGATCAATGGTTTGGTCCGTTGTTACGAAGGAATGGTCTCACCAAATGTCCAACTCCAGTGGTTTGTATACAATATAAAGTATTACATGAATTGCAAGTACACTTTCCCTTTCGTACCATACTTTTTTCTTATCACTATTTGTCAATAGGTGCTTGTTCATTTACCTATCCTTCATTATCATCTTGGTGTATTTTGAATGAAACTTCATCAACTGTTTGTGTTTGTTACCCATGTTTCATAAAATGTTGTACTTGTTAACTTTTGGCGCCTCGAAGTAGTGTATCCTCAAATTTATAAAGTAAATTGTTTAGAACATAAGCTAGCCAAGTGGGAAGTGTCTGCGGACAGCGCGCAAGAGTTAGTTCGTCGCCCGACCAGGACGTACGGTATGTAGTGTTTCGCTGGCCCTCTAAAAGTCATTGTACCACCACTGAGATGGGGCCCAACAGAGCCAATGTTCAGTCGGGGTTCAGTCAACGTCAAGTAGAAGTTTGGCACTACCTTTACGGGCCAAAAGTACTGACTACTCTCACCCAGGGTGAGAGAAGCCATTTGATAATTTTCCTTATTAGCAGAAAAAGCAATGTTTTAAGCGTATTTTTCCTATTGACGTTTTTAATTTACAGGGTCGTACGACTTTATCGAATTTGACATTAAGCGGGAGTTTTCCATTCCAAGTGCCTTTCAACAGGGGCAAGTTTGAAACAATATGGAAACTGGAATCGACCAATGAAGTATTGGGATGCATAGAAACATTTGTGACTCTTTTAAAATAAACCCGTGTGCATACACGAAGAAGATTCGGAAAATTAAGAAGAAAATGTTATTAAAAAAATTAAATAATAAAAACTTTTAAAGATGGTTTGTGTTGTTTTGGAAGTTTTTATTTTAAATAGTGGAACTGACTTATATATGGTACCTTCTTAAGTAAATAAAATTCAATTATCTTATAATTCGAGTGGATTTCGAGGGTCAAAAATCACAATTCCAATCCTTCTACGAAAATACCTACTAGAAATATATGGGCTTTTTATGTGATAGTACGGCAAACAGACCATCTGGTTACCTGATAGTAAGCAATCAGCGCCACACAAAGACACCCTCAACAACAGAGGAGCCATGAGTAAATTGCCGATCTTTTGGGGATTTAGGCATTGGGAAGGTATTGGCGGAGGGGAAGACTTCCAGTAACCTCAATAACACGGCCAAACAACACGTTGTGGTTATGACTTCAAGCGCAATAACGTATCATGACTAGGCGCGGTCCTGGAGGTACAAGGATTGTGTTTTGGTCAGCAAGAGTCTGAGTACCTTCCCATCCCTTGTCTGTTACTGTGAGTTCATATAAATAAAAAACAAACATTGAAAAACCCTTCAAATTATAGTCTAAGCGTCTGCAAGTTACAGCGTCTTTAAGGTATAGCACGTTTCAAATGTGAGAAATACATGTTTTGACACGAATAGGCTTTTTTTATGGTGTCGGGTTGGAAAATCCTCATGGAGACCCACCGCTCTCGGGGAAGGGCGAAGGGTACTGTCAGACTCATACTGACTAAAAACCAACCCAGTGTTTCTCCAATTACCCACGTCGGAGCGGCGGGTATCGCCGAAGCATTCGTCGCAACCCCCCGACGAGTTGACACGTATAGGCTGACCCAACTGGAGCTATACTATGGCCTCTCAGAAAACAGGCGTGAAACAACGCTTTCGTTGTGGTTACGCAGAGTAAGCGAGTTTACCTAAAATATTGCATAGGAAAAAATGACAATAAATTATTTAAGATAATAAAAGTCCCATATTTCAATGAATAAATATTTTCATTATTTTATCTTTGTTTGAAGGTTAAAACAATTTCCCCGCGAACCATCATCTCCTTTTTGGCAGTGTGTGTCACGATCATTTCTCCTTTACCTTTTTCGAAAGGCCAGACAGAAGGGAGGTCGATATCGAAGGTTACATTCTTCAGAGATAACTTGCCCTGCAACAAAAATGAGGTAAGTATTTATTAGATATGGATTGGGATTTATACTACGTTTTAAAGTAGTTATCGTATATTGCCTAGTGATATTGTCCAAATAGGAATATTATAGGCTCTAAATATTATTTGTGGAATCAGGGACAAACGTACAGACGCAACGCCTGATGGTACTTAACTAGTGAGCAATGCTGCCTGCCCTGCTAACGTTGTCTTTAACATCTTTAGGAAGGTTTTAAGTCAACTAAAATTAACGACACTGGGAGAGGAATTATAGATCAATTGTGAGGGAATCGCCTATTACACCTCACAAAAAATTGTAATGATCGTTTCACGAACGAACAAATTTTTGCCGAAGAAATTTTCTACAATAAATAGAAAAAGTTTTGCCTTTATAATAACTCAAATGGAAGTACTTACAACAGGTATGGGACATGTAACCAAACCAGCTTTCCGTATTATCAAGCCTAGGTAAGCATCCTTGAGGATAAGGTCACAGGCCCTGTAGTGCAACTCCACGAATGAACGCCTATACTCATTGTGTAGGAACTCGTAGAAGATAACGTCTATCTAGATGACAATAAAAATACACATTTTATTAAATACTTTTCTTGACAGAGACTACTATTTCTGTCGGTCTTGCTATAGGAAAACCATCAGGGTGCCTGAGGGTGTGTCAGATTGACTTAAAACGTGCCCCGTTCTTCTCCTGCTCTAAGCCTAGGTCACGGTGCCTTATTGTGCAACCTCGGGCAGTAAAAAGTGTGTGTTAATCATCGGAAGATCGCATTGAATACAAAAAGGCAGTGTTTTTAAAAGATTATGTCTTAGTTTTTAGATAGACCTCTTTTTCACAATACAGGGCGCCAAACACTCAATACAACACAAGACACTGGAACGCAAGAAGTAACGAGTGCGCTAGCGGCCTTTGAAGGGTTAGAGATGTCTTCACAATGTTTCGAATTTACTTGAACATATAATATTATCGAGTAAAATTAATATTAAATCTATTACCGTCACGTTGTTCCCAACCGCATACTTTGCATTTAAATCCAGGTTGGCTATGTAATCTCCTCTCTTGCCATTACGTCTGACAGTTAACGCGACATCAGAAAAGTACACGTCATTCACATAAGTTACTGAGGAGCGCTCCGGTATTATTTTGATGCACTGAAAAAACGTCAATATTATTAAATATGAATATCTGTTAAAAAAACAGCATCAAAATCAGTTGCATAGTTTTAAAGATTTAAGAAAACATAAAAAAACCATAATCTTTCATTAAATACAATTTCATTGTAATTTTATTAGTAGCTTCGTCTAAAAACCTTAACACTCCTTAAGTATTACCTATATAATACGTTTTGAACATTTTTTTTTTTACTTTTACTATTGATAAAATACTCACATGGATAACAACCGTCAAAAGACATAACACAAGGATCAAATTTCTCGAATCTGTAACCGAATTCACAATGTAGTACATTGTTTCAAAACGAACACGGAATTGAATTGAAACAAAATTTATATTCGTTTATAAAGTGCGTCATACAAAACTCATAAGTAATTAGGGCCTAACCAACTCATTTGTAAATAAATTCAAATCGATTTTTAAAAGCCTCTAAGCTATGTGGTCTCAATTTTGTATCGAATCGTATACGTGCTCTAGTTAAATCGATTTAATTCCTATTGTTGTTTATCCGATTTTACAGGGTACAGGACAACCATGATCTTGATCAGCGTACTTTGGCTAAAGCACGTAGATCAAGATCATGTTATTGTTGTAAGATTATGATGATGTAAAGAATTGTAAATTGTATTTAATGTGCATTGCTTTGAATAGATTTTTTTTATCTTAAACTGTTCTTTCAGTGAACGTTGATAAATATCAATAATTGATTAGTCATAATGCCTGATTAATCGCGTTATGGTTTACATCAATTACAATAATTGGGCAGTGTGCCGCAAACCTGCTGATTGCTCCGTGCTTTCGCGCAAGACGATATGCAAACCGCTAATTCGATGAAGCACAGTTTAACTCGATTTAACTCGAATTACGTCCAATTCGATACCTAAATTGATTAGGCAAATCGAGTTGATACATCTCTACCTGTGATAAAATCAATGGAATCCTATTAAACGTTTCGTTTAGAATTAAAGTACTTTGTAACCTACACTCGTTAAAAAGGGCACTTATTTTAATGGTTACAATTATCCAAACATAAGGTACTTGTTATAATATAATTTGTAATTGAAACTGGCTGGTTACTATGTGGGTAACCTACCGATTTTCGAACAAAAAAGGCGTAACGATTGGAATTGAGGTCAGAGCAGATTAAGTGTATTTTAATAATGGAAATTGTTACGGTCCAGTAAAATGTGCACGTGTTTCCATGGTGATATGTCTGCGTATATGAATTAGCCATGTTCGTTATTAATGGTAGCCAAAATGATTAGAAAAATATATGCATCAATTAGCTCTTTCTTTTGTCAGGGGAAAATCATCAAATGACTTGTCCCGCCCATGGTAAGGCGAGAGAGAGTGTCAGACTCTTACTGACTAAAAACCCCCCATCCTTCTTCTGCTCTGGGCCGGCCGTGGCCGTGGTGACTCATTGCGCTTATTCCGCAACCCCGGCTGAGCATCAGCCCTATAAGGCCCCGTCTGTGGTGGTCTATTGGCTCTTTAAGGCGAGCGAGGAACGGTACGCGTCGTCCACTCGGGTCTGGTTGTGGTCGGGCAGCGAGCTACCTTTACTCGCCGTCCGCAGACCCGCGTTTACGGTGGCCGAAGATCGTCTTTCGATCAATTAGTCATTACGTTTCTATTACGTGGCCAAATTTGTTTCTTATTACAAAGTATATCAGAATTGCCTTGTTTTATAGAATTACTCGCTTGATTTCTTTATTTAATTTTATTGAAAATTATTTTTCCATGGAGTCAAGTGCGGGTAGTATAGAGCAATACACACCCCCACTAATTATATGTGTGTGGGTCAATTTCGGCGTAACAAAACCGCTGCAATTCCTTTAAGCCAGGATCTTCAGTAGACTGATCATGAAAACACCAAACAATTAAGCACTTCATGTCCCAGAGATATGAGTGTCTTTGATCCCGCACCGAAATAAATCTGAAGATGTTACTTGAGGGGAAAATAAAAAAAAACAAAAGAGTTTCCATTTCTTTTGGTGAATTTGATACAGGAGATGGACGGACTGAAACTTTAAAGGCAGGAGTAATTGTTTAAAAACAGCCAATACACGGGGCTGTAAATTGTTTGTGGCTTACATAAAAGACTTGATTGTTTGGTCTCACACCAGCGAAGCTATGCACACAAATAAATACATTCATCAGTCCCTATTTAACTCCGAACTTAAGTCTCAAGTTGACAATAGGAACCTAATCGAGTACACAGTTTCACCGAATTTAACACGCTAACCAAGAGCGTTAGCTTTGAAATGGAATGTTGCAATTAGTTTCTGAATCATTTCACAATAGATCGGTCAAATACGCGAACCCGTTATTTAGAATCAAAAGCCAAATCGATTATATTCGATAGTCGAATGAAATTCAATTAGCATCAATCATTTGGAACAAGCCTAGCTAGATTTATAATATCAGTTTTTATAGCGTAGAATGTAAAGCGAGTCCCAAATTTTCATATGCAGTTAAAAGAATTGATTATGTAGTCCAAACAATATTTCATGTTCTTCTATTGTCAATCGTAAAGATAAAGAGCAAAATCGTAAGATTTTATTCATTGAAAACCTTCTGTTTTCTGGTCCTATAAGAATTGTTTCCCGGAACATGACATTCTTTTGAGACTTTTCTCTGGGTATTCGATAAAATACTTTTATTGGGAAAATATCGGTATAAAATACAAAGATCACTCGTTTATGGAATAGATCACTACATGAGTAGACGGATGGAAAGCAATCAGCTTTGCCCATTAACATCCGCAACACCAGAGGAGTCATACGTGCGTTGCAACTGTTTTAAATGTTAGTTAGGAATTTGAGGATTGGGGATTTGGCAATGTCATCTCATATTATTAATATTTTATACGTCAACATTATAGGTACCTATAAAAGTAATTTAGATGAAACCGGCATTTCCTATCTGACTAGTCTGAACAGAAATACCGTAACAAACTTAGAAAAGTCCAGACAAATGTAAAAATAATGTGGGAGAAGAAGAGAACGAAATAATAATTAAATTAAATTTAGTTATTAAGTAATTTTCGAAGAAAAATAAAAGTATCTATTCATATATAATGACTGCATACAATCATGTCATATAATTCTTTATGAATACGGTACCTACATACATATTTAAATATGTTGCAGAATATTCGTAATTATGTATGTTTACCTTCTCTTTTGAGACATTTTAACGATGGTGCATTTTCCTTTGGTGGCTGCGTAGACTTTGTGTAGCCCTATGTAACCACGTTTTGATAGCATATAAACATAAAATAAAGTTACACATTTTCACGTTTATGATCTGAGTCGCGTAAAATGACAAGTGTGTTAAAATATAACAGTGTTTTTATTTTGAGTGTACATGACATGTGTATGCATGCAAAATATGTTGGTAAGCGCATAACTCAAAAACGCCTGGACCAATTCTACTGATTCTTTTTTTGTTGTAGAAAATTTAAAAAGTAGAGGGGAGTGTTGGGTAAAAGGGATACCCTTTCATCATAAGCGAGATGATGAGACCCGTGCGAAGCAGGGGCGAGCTGCTAGTTATTGTATAAAACTGATAAACGAGCAGATCACCTGATGGTAAGTGATCAACAGCGCCGACTTTTTCAGAAGGAGTACGTTCGTTTCCTTAATCTGTAAAGGTCGTATTGGTTCGGAAAACCGCCGTCGACAGCTCGTTCCAAAATTTTGCTGTGCGAGGCAGGAAGTTTCGTAAAAATCGCATTGTTGTGTGTGTGTTTACTCCATGAACAGCATGCCATGAAAATAACAACCTAATGACGTGAATTAAGTGAGAAACACTTTACTTTATTTTTAATTAGCGTGACGTCGCCGTGACACCGCCGCACATTGCACGTGAATTAACATTCACGTTAATAAGTTGTTATTTTTAATATATTCAATATGTTCTACGAAAGTTAGTTACCATACAAAAATTGTAGTTGAAATCATCGGAAATGATTCCAACTATTACATTTCATAAATACGCACGCAATGTTCATAGAAAATCTTGATGTATCGATTTTCTATGAAAGTACAAGATAGTGAAAGTTGTATTTAAAAAAAAACCTTAATCCACACTTGGATTTTTTCTTGTATCGTGGGTGTATCTAGAAACATACAATTTCACAAGCTCATCAAAACCCAGATGGGTTCCGGCATAACAATTTCGTACCCTCAGTGGAAAATAGGCATAAGTGAATTTACATTGAATCATCGATTTTATCATATTTGAAAAGTACGTTTAAAGATACATACGCAATATTTTTTTCATATTTTTCTTGTTTAATTTGACGAATTAATTCAAGAAAATAGTTTTGAGAATTTATATTCCATCACTTTTTTTCTTAAGGATTAGTAGATTATGTGATATAACGCAAATAATAAATTAAAAAATATGACATATTAATTAATAATATGTTTATACCTAAAATTTAATGTAGAAAATAAATAGTAACAAATATTATGATTTAAATGCGTTTGCTTTTTTTACATCGCTAGTCTTGTATACACGATTATCTTTTTATTCGTTATATTAACTAGGTAAGGAAATTATCTTAAATGCGCTTACTTAACCAAAAAGATAAACTTAAAAAATAAAAACAGCAGTATGACTGTTTACTTCTTATGAACTTAAAATAAATTACAATAATAACAATTACTGCTTTTTTCCACTAAAAACTTTCCTTTACGTCGAAACATAAGACTACAAACTGCAGCACGGCTGTAACATAAGAATTATTACTTCTTTCTTCCACTAGAATATTTTCATTGCACCGGGACGTAAGATTTGATACAGCGGCGCGGGAGTAGACAGCGGGAACATAAGCGTGAATACGTCGATGCAGGGGGGAGGGGGCGGTGCGTATCCACGCGCTTGACAGTCAGTGCCCGTTTCTAGGTCAAGGTAATAGCTGCGTTTACGCATTTGCGAAAACAAAACAACAACAATTGAGTGGTTTCTCTTCTTATTTTAAAGTAAAGTGACCTGAAAATGTATAACCGGACACAGCACAGTAGGGCGAGAAGAATTTTGAAGTTAATAGGTAAGTACATTTAGATTTAATTCTTATAAAAGCTAAAAATAAATTATTCCACAGTGACGTGTTTACTGTATAATCAATAACATTGAGCGACTGTCGTCCGACCTTTGTAACCGGAACCAAAACAATATCGTGGTTACACATTCTGAATGAATGAAGGTGCAGTTTCCTCACGATGTTTTATCTTACCGCCAGCTAGTGGTTCAAGTAGTATGTAAGTGCGCTAGACAATTAC